ATATATTTTTGTTAACTGTAGTCATCCTACAGTGGTATAGAACACTAGAACTTATTCCTTTTGAGCTGCAATTTTGTAGTCTTTAATAAATCTCTCCCTTTCCCTCCGTTCCCCCTACTCTTCCCAGCCTCTAGTACCCTCTCTTCTACTTTTTATTTCTATGAGACCAACCTCACTTATTTTATCTTGGAGACAGAGTCTCGTTCTGTTGCCCAGGCTGGAGTGCAGTGGCATGATCTCAGCTCACTGCAAACTCTGCCTCCCAGGTTCAAGTGATTCTCCTGCCTCAGTCTCCCGATTATCTGGGACTACAGGTGTGCACCACCACACCTGGCTAATTTTTACATTTTTAGTAGAGACGTGGGGTGGCCCAGGGGGATTCTCTTTTCATGAGAATTGGTATCCATTATCAGGGAAGCGATATTTGTGGACTTCCATCTTTGGCATTTTCTCATGAATCTCTTTTCCACTGGGTACCAACTTTTGCAGTTAATAGAAACGTGCAAAACATGTCTTTGTGAAGGGAAGATGAGCCTCAGCTTGCCCTTAAGTCACCTTGATGTGAAGACGTAGACACCCCTCTGAATGGCCGTAGCCCTGTGACACTGGGCTGGCATATGGAGTGTGGTGAATTGAGGTCCTATGTACACCTCCCCGGGGCATCTTGGTGCAGGCACAGTGCCATGCGTCAGCCCTCCTCTCGAGGCAAGAACAGGGCCAGGCTTAGGCCACGGCTGCAGCAGTTAACTTCCAGTACGCCAAGCACTGAGAGGCCAGTAGCTGGGACTATGATTCTCTTAAGGGTCCTGATGATGGAACTCGTGGAATGAGGGCTGAGGAGTAGGTGGGTGTCACAGAGGCTAGCTGATAATGCCACATCTTGTGCTGTTGCCTCAAGATGGAAGGCAAGGGTTGAGGTCTTGCAGGGTGATTTTCAATGGCTAGTTCAGTTACTCTGGGGTTCCTAATGCACCATTTTGCTTCCGATTTTCCTAAAGCGCTAAGGGCCAGGACAGAGTCCCATCCTCGCAATGTCAGCACAGAAATCTTTCCCTCCCAGCAGGCTTTCAGTAGTTGGATTATCCCAGATGAAGGAGGGCTCATTTCTCCTCCATGAGTCTTCCTAAGATTGATTTCAGTTTGTCCTACCTTAACAGAGAAACAGAGAAAAAGAGAGACGGGGGTGGGGGGCGGTGGAGGGGGAAGAACACAAGGCTCTGAGAAATACACGATTTATCTAAGGCCATGTGGTTGACCCATGTGTACCTGGTATATACCAGGGCTGCCCACTCCAAAGGCCCACAGTCTTCTGACCATATCTATCTCCCTGCCTTGTAAACACTTATTTTCCCTTCCTTGGTGGCAAGTAGGTGACTGGCTTCAGCATTTGTGGTGAATGTTCCACCTGTCCAGGGTGGGCCAAGGCTGAATGCCACGTGGAAGTCTCAGCTCCTTCCCTCCAAGCGGTCTCAGCGAGTTGCCATCAGAAGTGTGGCATCTGCAGATGTCCCACCCACCCCCGTCCAGATGAAGGGAAAGTTGGGTCCTGGGGACCCATGATGGGAATCTGGTTTGGAGAGTGGCCTCAGACAGAGCCCCAGCATGAAACTAAGTTCAAGCCAGTCAGAATGACCAACTGCGGTGTCAGTCAGCCAAGACCCGTCAGTGGCAGGACCCCGGTGGGAAGAAACGATGAAAGCGGTGGTACTGAAGGGCGGGGCTTGAAGACTATGCACGTGCCTGGAGGTCCGGGGTCCAGGCATGGCTCCTCTTTTTAGAGCTGGGAGGGGCACGTGGCCTGCTCAGGGGACTTTCTTCCTAAGACAGTACATCAACCTTTTGTTCTGAAGCTGTCGTGGACCAGCGCCCCATCAACTACTGTGCAACTGGCCTACATGACTGCGACATACCCCAGCGGGCCCGGTGTGTCTACACAGGAGGCTCCTCCTACACCTGTTCCTGTTTGCCAGGCTTTTCTGGGGATGGCCGAGCCTGCCAAGGTGTGTGATTGCTCTGAGAAAGTTTCCTAGGTGTAACCTGAGAAAGTTTCCTAGGTGGTATTTACCATGTGCTAATTACCAACTCACTCCCAAATACAAGAAAGAATTCTGTCATCTCCATTGAGTAAATGAGTTGCTTTTTATGTCTTTCTAATAGTTTGAACTACACATTTTCTTTTGGGGGCTGTTCTCATTGGTGACTATTTTGTTCTAGGTGACTAGTTCATTCAGGCAACAATTAGATACCAGCTCTCTGTGAGGAACTGGAGGTATTTTCTGTCTTTCACGAAGAGACAAACTGTCCTTTTACGTGGAGGACATGCATGGAGCTTAAAGTCCATCCTTTCATTTAATAAGATTTATTAATATATAGTCATTCATCTGGCTTGTTCTAACCTTCTCCTTCAAAAAAGCAAAGTTCTCATATTGAATAGATGACTGCAGAGTCAAAGAATAAATGACTCAATAGAATTCCTTCAGACATGAGCTCGCTGGCTGCCAGGGTGCTCTTACAGGTAATTGTAGGTAAGATAACCCATGATCAGAGCACCTTGAGTCTCTTGGTTTGCAAAAGTACTTAATATTATACCATAGAGCATTTCTAAAAAGTCCCAACTAAGATAGATGATAATTTCTGAGATACTTTCTCTTTATTACTGAACATGTGAATTTTTTCTTGTTGCTGAGGGTTTTCTGTCAAGTACTTAATAAACTGTTAGCAAACACTCAGACATTTTTGAAGCTCTCATTAATGTCAAGAGAGATCGTTTTATAATGCACATAAATCCTATCTTTTCCCCTGTTGTAAGCTTGATGAAAACATTTTTCGTGGAAACGTTGCCAAAGTGAAATGCATTTGTAAGTGCAACAGATAGAAACTGGGGAGTTAGTGACTTAATAGTTAATGTTTAGTGAGTTTTGAATTACTATTCCCCAATCAGAAGCAGGTTCCCATAGATTTGAGTAAGCGGCTTAAATTATTGAGAATTCCGAAAGAGATCTCATTGTCTCTGGGCCTGGTGTCTGTTTTACAGATGTGGATGAATGCCAGCCAAGCCGATGTCACCCGGACGCCTTCTGCTACAACACCCCAGGCTCCTTCACATGCCAGTGCAAACCCGGTTATCAGGGAGATGGCTTCCGTTGCGTGCCCGGAGGTAAGGTGGTGGGACATTTGGGAACTGGTAGCCCATTGCCCTATGCATGAATCCAGAGCACGTGGCCCTGGGAGAGATGGTGAGGCGGGAAAGTAGGAGGCTCCGTGGAGAGTTCTAAGGGTTGTTGAGGTGGGAGATCAGAGCATGGACTACACTCTTTGAAATGGAAGAACATCAGGTGGGAACATTGCCTGTAATCCCAGTACTTTGAGAGGTCAAGGTGAGTGGGTCACCTGAGGTCAGGAGTTCGAGACCAGCCCGTCCAACATGGTGAAACCCCCTCTCTACTAAAAATACAAAAATTGGTCAGCTGTGGTGGCTCATGCCTGTCATCCCAGCTACTTAGGAGGCTGAGGCATGAGAATCGCTAGAACCTTGGAGGTGGAGGTTTCAGTGAGCCAAGATCGTGCTACTGCACTCTAGCCTGGGTGACAGAGTAAGACTCAGCCTCAAATATATATATATATATATATATATATATATATATATATATATATGGTTGACACCTTAGACTGGAATTAACCAGCTTTATTATTTATTTTTCATTACTGTTGCTGTTGTTGGTCAGATGTATTCATGCCACTATAAATGTTTTCAATTAGAGATAAGAAGATATTTTCATCTCATCGCTTTTTAAGCAGTTAAAAACTATTTAAATAGGCTGGGTGAAGTGGCTCATGTCTGTAATCTCAGCACTTTGGGAGGCCAAGGCGGTAGATCACAGGGTCAGGAGTTCAAGACCAGCCTGGCCAAGATGGTAAAACCCCATGTCTACTAAAAATACACAAATTAGCTGGGCATGGTGGTCGGCACCTGTAATCCCAGCTACTCAGCTACTCGGGAGGCTGAGGCAGGGAATTGCATGAACCTTGGAGGTGGAGGTTGCGGTGAGCCGAGATCACGCCACTGCACTCCAGCCTGGGTAACAGAGCGAGACAATGTCTCAAAAAAA